TAAACATTGTATTTCTATTATATTTTGTTCATGTTATCCTTTCTATTTTTTTTTCTTCAGGCTCATACATTCGAACGCCGTATGTTGAAACTAGCATCAATAACTGTAAACCATTCTAGTGTGCTGATGAGTAATACGTTAGTACTTTCGGGATCAACACTCCAAGGACACAATCGTATCTTACCATGGACACTTGTGATGAAGGAAGATCAACTGTCACCTAATACAAACTAGTCTGGCGTACCTGCACAACAAGTTATCTAAGATTTTCCGATGAACTTTCAAATGACAAATTTTTTTGTTTATTTCATATTTTACTTTAATACAGGTTTTTCTCTAATTTAATATCTTAATAAACATCATAATCTTGCGTTTTAAGAAAGTAAACAAAATGATCATTGTATCAAAAATAGCTGAGACTTAATTTCTGATTATGCTATATCTTCTACTTTGATTTAGTTATATTTCACATGTTATCACTTTTTCATTCTCTTGTTCTCATTTTTAGTGAAAGAACTATTTATAGATATCTGACTAGTTCTTGGTGGACAGAGAAAGAAGTTATTTTTATCTTTGGAAAATGAACTTCATGTTTGACGTCTTCTTTCGATTTCTCTGTCTATATTTACATCATTCCTTTATTGTTTTTTTCTCATATGAAATTTCAATACTACAACAATATTAAAAACGTGAAGATCAATCTCTTGATACTAATCTCCAAAAGCATATAGAAATAATATTATCTCTAGTAAAACATCAATGATAAAAGTCAAACTAATTTAATCAATACTGTAAGCATAACCTTCTGTCGATGTATGAATTGCTTAAACACTTGATTCTGTTATCTTTCATAATCTGACACATTTAATATTAGTATATTTGACTTGGCTAGAAATACTGAAGACATCCAATAATCATTCATTCTCATTTGTTACTATGATGAGAATTATATATGAATTCATTAGTCCAAATTTAACTATGAAAAAGCTTAAGTGTAGTATTATTTCAATTTTAAATTGTTATTTATACATGAATGTTAAAAAATGAAATACTATTTTAGAAGAAATATTATAGTATCATAAACACAAGAAAAAAAGTTGGTAAAAACAAGTTTTCCAAATACCGTTAGGCGCGGTGTGCATCTGGACTATATATATAGATGATGATTGTACAAATCAATAAAAAAAGCAGAATCAAAAATACTCTCAATATTTTCTGCTAACTTCAGTTGAATAAACCATTGAATTATATAATCTTAAAATAATTTCAGACTCCAAAATCACTATCGATACATTTCTATCATTGAATGTTTGTCGTATGGTTTCTGCACTATATTCGAATTAATAAAATGAAGCAACAAGACAAGTAAATTTCGTTTCATCTTCTATACTTTTTTCTCTTCGAAACAAATTCTTTAATTCAGATAATAAAACAAAAACTACTAAACACTTGTATTGATAATCATCATTTCAATAGTTCTAATATTTTCTCAATAACCGTTTATATGTGTGTTTTTTTTTAATGAAGAAAAAACAAATCAACGAAATAAAAGAGCAAGCATAAAGCTGCAAAACAAGAAACAAACAATAATTTCAGAACAATATCATGGTTTAATAAACTTATAGAATAATGAATCCTGTTTTAAAAGAAGAAAACAAAACGAATGTAATAAAAGATATAGAAGGGATATAACTATCAAATGAAGACCTTCACATGCCCATATGATCATTCTCAATTTTTTTTTCCATAACACCAGACGAAATACATAATTGAATATGATAAATGGCGTGTTTTAAAACAAAAACAAAACAAAATCTCCCCGATCAACGAAACAAAAACAAAAAAGAAATAACAATGACCAAGATCGTGCGCGTATATCAAAACAATAACATATTTAACGGGACACATCATAAGAGATCAATAAGTTTTAAACTAATAAGTTCGTGATCAATGCACAAAAAAAAACACAACGGACAAAACACAATAGTTCAACCAACAACTGGTATATACACTTAATCAGAACGAGAGAAGAAAGAAGAAGAAAAACTAATTATATTGCATAATGATTACCGAAATTTTTTATCCTTACACTTAGTGTTTATAGTTTTCTTATTTCTGTTGATTTTGTTTTTCTGTATACTTTCTTCTTACTTTCTACTAAATATGTAAGTCACAACAAACCCAATAATAATTAAGAAGAATATGTTTATCAATAGATAGAGAACAAAAAGAAAAGAAGAAGACGAAGACGAAAGATTTATCAGATAAAGAATGTGTTAGAGTTAGACAAGTTGAGCAAACAAACACAGACAAATACATAAATAACGTAAAATAAAGAGAGAAGACGAAAACAAAGAAATCACAGTTATTCCACGTGATATTTAACATAAGATAATATTTAATAGTTTCGTTCTTATTTATGTCGTTTTGGAGGACCCCAAATAATTGGTATTGTATTCACTGTTGTTTCATGTATTTGTGATGAATTATCATCAGTTGTTAATGTAAGACCATTTGAAAATGATGGATATTCACCTAAATTTTGATAAAAATATTTTCTTTATTTGTATAGTTTAATTAAAATTAATTTATTGACAACTAACAAATCGTTGTTTCAAAAAAAAACAAATACATAATTTTATCTTAATATATTCATTCGAAACTTAAATCAATTTTATTTTAGTATAATACAAAATATAACATTGTAACGAACATTTTCTTTAGTTAGAAAATTTTTAATAAGTTCTTTTTTTCAATAGAATATCATGAAATTGTTTTCAAAATCGATTCTCACTTCTTACAATACTAATATTTAAAGTTTTTTTTTTTATACGATACAGAAAACATTGTTCATATATGTATATCTCAGGATACGAATAAATCTGCTTCTATTCTATTGAGACAAGTAAATATAATGATATACATAGCATATAACTCAATGTATTATACTATTAAATTGATTTCATCTCTATAGAGCAAGCAGAGATATTCATTGTTATTGCTCCGTAGCAAACTATATAAAATGTTGCCAATTGATGAGATAGTTTCTTCAAAAAGCTGTTCCTATGAACATCATTGATAATAAGTATTCATTCAATAGATTATAAAGTAAATAAAAAAATGAAAATTCTTACCTGGATCATCTCTACTTGGTGCATATTGTCCTTTTATTGGTGAATTATAACGTTCATTATTTATTTTTTCTTGTTGATTATCAAAATTATCTTGTTCATTTGATGTCCATGGTGCATTTTTAACTTTAAATGCTTTTTGTTTATTATTATTATTATTATTATTTTTAGTTGTTTTATTCATATTTAAATTTGATGTTGATGGTACTTCTTGTTGTTGATGTTGAATATTTAATGATTGTTGTTGTCCTATTTTTGTTGATTCATTTTGTATTTGTTTTTTATATGGTAAATCTTGTAAAAAATCTTCTTCTAATATTAATAAATGATCAATACAAGCATCAATATTTTCTTGATTTGTACCAATAACATGTACTTTATTACTTTGATTATTACTTGGAAATTTAATATCAACATCATAATCTTTCATTATTTGTTGTAATTTTTGTCCACGTGTACCAATAATACGTGCATGTATACGATGATCAATATCAATTTCCATTGTTATTGTTGATTCAAAATCTTGTATTAATTTTAATATTTCATCACGACATTTTAATACTTTATCTTCATAACCAATAATTAATATTTCAATATCATTTAATTGTATTTCATTTGTTAATAATAAATTTTCTAATGGTAATGTTTGTTGATCATCATGATTTATATCATTTAATAATATTGGTGTTGGTACAACAGCTGATGTTGGTTGTTGATTATTTAATATTTGTATATTAACATCATATTTTTGTTTTAAATTATTAATTGTACGTCGACGAGAACCAATAATTAATGAACGATATTGTGATTTAATTATTAAACGTAATTCATATGAACGTGCTTGTTTATCAATTTGATATTTTTCATAACGTTTAATTAATTCATTTTTTAAACTTTCAGTTTGTTCAGGTTGTCCTTTTAAATATATTAAATTTGATGATGAATTTAATGATGGAAATGTTATTAATACATCAGGATATTGTTTTATTAATGTTTGTAAATCATTACGATTTTTACCAAGTAATATATTATGAATTTCAAATGGTATATCAACTGTTAATTCAAGTGGTATCATTTTTTCTAAAGCAATTATAGCTTTATCAATATCATCTATACGACCAATTATACGAACAATATCATCTTTTGTTGTATCATGTTCATTATTA